TTATTATTGGTAGTTTATAAAATTGTAAAAATTTGTTATAGTATGTTGACAAGTTGCAGGATTCTAAAGATGTTGGTCGCAAACTTGTCAGGTTAGTATCTTTTACATGGTCGCTTGCCGTATATCCGGTTCTCACAGTTTCCAAAAAGCTTGTAGTCTGCCCTGTATATTGGGTCTGACCGTCATTATCCCAAGCCTTCAGGTAAATAGGCTTTACCGCCCACCCACTTACATCATTCCCTCTATTAAATACAATAGTTGTATCAATTAATAAAGTAGTGGCTGCATTAATAGGATTATTTCTTATTATTATTTTAGTATATATTATATTTTTAATATCTTTTTTTTATATATTTATTTTATTTTATTATAGTTATTTTTAGTTAGCTATAAGACAACATATTGAAGGAGGCTTCTAAACATTAAATAACTATAATAGAATTTGTAAATCAACATGAGAGCTACATAATGATATGTGTTTTATTTTTAGTTAATATGTAACTTATTAAGTAATAAAGCGCCAAGTATTGATAAATATAATTTTGCTCAGCATTGGCTCGGTGTTGTTTATTGGTGCTTTAGGAGATTCTACTTGGATTTTCTATATTGCCAAGGCTTTCCAAACGTTTTGGAATATCTAAAAATATACTACAACACATGGTAGCCCTAAAACCAATTAAATATTGGCCTAAAAAGCTATAAAAAGTGTAGTTTTTTGCCTTTCTAAAAAGCAGAGTTGTCTCTACCTAAAATTCTTTTAATAAAATTATATTTTATTTAATATTTTCTTAACACTATCAATAAAAACTATTGTTTATCTTCCTATTTTATTTATTTTATCTTTCTTTTATTATTTCTTATTTTTTTCTTGATAATAATATAAAGTGAAGGCTGACTTTGTTAATAGTTTTTGGCAAATACTAGCTTTATATTATTAAGATTTAAAGGCTACATATAGCTATTGACGGTCTGGTTATTAGTGCTTTCTTTCTTCTGGTTATATCTTAGGATATTTCTAAGTTTTAAAGTCTAGTAATTCTTGTAAAGGGCAAGTATTTGCTATATCTGATCTATACAAACTGGCCAATAAGTTTAACTCTAAACACAATTACCTATTGCTAATTACTTTATAGTATCTAGAAGGCTATTGAATTTAAATCCTGTTTTATATTTTTCTTTTTTATTTTTTCTTTTTATTTCCTTTAAATAAAAGATCTTCCACTTGGCACTCATATCTTTTAAAATTTGCTATAGCTTGCTAGTTTTTAGTAAATTTTATTACAATTTGGCAACGATGACAGGACTAATCTTTCCAATTTAAGGGAAATATTTCGTATATATGAGCATAGCTCTATCTTGAATTGCAATATTTGGAGAACTAGATTATTCTTTTGCACAAACCAGAAAACCATTAGCTTTATTTTCTTCTTCTTCTTCTTCTTCTTCTCTTTCTGTTTTTTCTTCTTGTTCTCTTCTTCTTCTAATATTTCAAATTCTAGATCTCAGAAACAACTAATTGATAATTATCAAAATAACAACATGGATAATCTGCAAAATTTATAGGAAAATGCTGTTAATCAATTTGACTATATTATAAATAACAATGATACAATGAACAATAATAATAGTTTAGATAATCTATATATTAACAATAGCTCTTCTTTTAATGATCTTTCTTCTAATGATCAAGATACAGGAGCTGGTGTTCACTTTGCACCAAATCCCTATACATATTCTCCAATATATCAATCTCTTAAAATAGTACCTCACAATTTACCTTCTATGTCTTCAACTTCAACAAATATTCTATTTATATCAACTTCAACAAATATTTTACCGATGAGTTCATCATCATCAACTCATAAAGATAAACAATTATCTGTTAAGTTGGATGACTTATCTCCTTTTAATTTTGAAGGCCTACCTGAGGAAACAATACCTAGTGATCTCCAAGTTCAACAAGTTCTCTATTACTTTAACCATCTAGTTAAAGCTATAGAAAAAGGACAATCTCAATCTTCTAAAGAAACCTTTCTTGTCCAAATTCTTGTCTTTAAAGGAGAAGAACAGGATTCTATATATTGGCTAAATGAATTTGCAACTGCATGTTCTGTTAATAATATCCAGGAACCCTGAATGTTAATTATTATTCTTGCTTATTTAAAAGGATCAGCACACTCCTGGTGGAGGACTGTTGCTAATAAAGTTCAGTTTTGGAATAATAATTTAAAGCCAGCTCAATCTTTTGTCTATTTGTTTCAACTTCAATTTTGTACTACTCATCCAAAATCTTAATAGCTTTCTGATCTCTGATCTCGAGTTCAACAACTTGGTGAAACTGTTGAGGATTATTATACTGAGTTGGAACATCTATATCAAAAAGTTGATCCAAATAATTGATATCCATTAGAGGATAAACTACGCCAATTTATTGATGAACTAAGGAGTAAAAATCGAAAATTAGTTGAAATTTCTTGCTATACTACTATAGCCCAAGCTTTAATCTGTGCCAAAGCTGCTGAAGCTGCTTTTTCTCAAGGAATGCCTCTTGGTTCTTATTCTCTAAATAGGGATATCTTAACTATTACTCTTCTTCTTTCTATCATCTTGGCAATACTATTTCTGTTAATAATCAGTCTAATAATGAAGTTTCTCAAGCTGTTCAGGCTATTCTAAACTATTTTAAACAGCAACCCCAGCAAAAATCAAATACTCCCCAAAATAATAACAATAATAACTATCGCAACAACAACAATAATAATTGTAATAACAATAACAATAACCAAAATAATAGTTCTTTTCAACAAAATACTATTGTTTGTCAAATTTGTACTATAGTGCACATGATTGTTATTAAAGGAATAACAATAATAATTTTGTCAATAATAATCAAAGAAAAGAAAACTTTCAATATAATAATAACCAAACCAACAATAATAATTATCAACTATCAAAAAGTAACTCTCAACTACAATCATCTTCAAATAAACAAAAACCTCAATCTACATATTATACACTTTTGCTAAGAATTTACAAAACTTTGTTCAAAACTCAGCACAGTCTTTAAACTTATAAAGGCATACTGTAAGGGCAGTAATCTTTTTCTAAAAATAATTATAATAATAATCAATCATCTATTTTAAAGGACAATAATTCTAA